TGTTTGAAGCCTGAAATGTGGCAAAAGGTTGAAAAGTTCAAGGGGGCCGAATACTTTCGCAAGGCACTGTATAAGAATTTGCACTATAAAGAAATGGAGAAGATATGGCATAACTGTGAATCTCTATAGAATGGGGCATCTTCAAAAACTGAGTATCTGGGTGATAGAGGGTATTTGACTGGGAGACCATTAAGAAACTTAGGACAACTGTAAAGTTATTATAGTTTTTTTCCCCAACTGAGATGGAAGAAACTGTGCAAACATCAACAATTGCCTAATGATTCACAAATTTGGGCTTCATGTGAGAATGCAAAATGAAAGACATTGTTGAAAACACTTACATCAAATCTCAACTACAGTATGCCAGCAGATATGTGGGAGACTTGGACACCAAATGGAAAAAGATTCTACAATCTGATGAAACCAAAGCTGACCTTTTTGGCCTGAACACTAAGCCCTATGTTTGGTGCAAGCATAACACCACACATCAGCCTGAAAACACCATCCCTAATGTGACACATGGTGGTGGCAGCATCATGTTATGGGGTATTTGCTGCATTTGTTGGAGCTAAAAATTGCTCTTCACCAGCAGTCCCCATCCAACTTGAAGAAACTTGTTTTTTGTTTACTAAAAACAATTTTGTAAATGGACAAAAATAACTCCACATGTCTCCACATGTCACATGACAGTCTCCACATGTCAAAATAACAAAACTGTTAGAGCCAAGAAGACCTAAGCTGTATTTTTTTGCCAAGGAGCCTCTACCTAATACTGACACAAGGGTGGTCAATACTTATGTAATCTGTTATTTTCTTATTTCCATATTGCAACACAATAAAACGCAAAAAAGTAGAGGGGGTAAATATTTTTGATAGCCACTGGAACAGCACATTTACAGAAGCACTACACAGGTAGCATGCTGGAAGTTTGTATTTACACTTCAGTGTCTTTATCATCTCAGACATTATATTCATTTAGCACACGGCAAAAAGTGTCAATCTGACATACATAATGAATGATGTAGTTTTTAGGTTGTGTGTATAGCATGTGTCCCACACTACAAACCCTAGTGAAGAGATTCAATTAATTACTTTATCACTTATAGTACGCAAAATAAAGAGGTGGGAATAGTGCTTAGGTTTGGAACACAAATATGATCTTCTTTATTCAAAGGGCCATAATGACAAATGAATGCGCTCTGATAAATTAAGTTCCCGAACCTACCAGGTCCTTTTCCATTACATTTTTTTTTAATTTTAAGCGTACTTCTAGTGAGTGCTGGGAATGTTTTGATTACAATTTTCAGTTCCCATGAAACATAACTTTTGTACATTCTAGAAAACCCCCTTTTATCATTTGAACTTCTCTTACTAAAATTTTTCATTCTGTAACCCAGTTTCACTTTCCAAAATAAAAACATTCTCCAAATTCTCCCAGACATCTCATGAGGCCAAAACATCTTCCAGACTTTAAGAACAAATAACCCAACATGACCTCATCACCTCACCCAAGCACACAAGAAATACTCGGCAAAAATGAACCACATAAAATCCTATAGCAGTGTTGATTTCTATAGCAGGTTTTCTTCATTTTCAATCTAAAAGGTTGAACTAGAGTTTTGCAGTTTTTCAACAACAAAAAAAGATGGACATTTAAAATGACTAAGTAAAAAACAACACCATAATAAGCAGAGTTTATCACTTCAGTAGTAGTACTATCAGTGATTATCTTTGTATTTATGTATTTAGATACTCTAAATCTAATCTCTATGATACAAGTACCTCTTTTCTGCTTTAATGACTCCACAAAATAAGGACATTTTTATTTAATTTCTGATTTTTGTTGCTGTTTTCATTCTCTTTATTATTTTTTACAAATTGAAAAATTTTGATTATAAGACATTATCAAGTTATATCATCATCAAAAACGTCATTATCAGCTTCACATTAGTACTGGCACTTAGGAATTAGCAACTCCATAGTGTTCTTTGGGATAGTACATCGACTGAGCTTTAAGTTTCTGTATATGTTTATATTAATAATTAACAATTTATATAAACCAATATAATTCTGATAGCAGTCTGTATTTAAATGCACAAGTCATTTAATGATTTAGTGTTAAACGATGCAATTCACATAGAAATGTACTTTACTTTTCTGATTACGTATGTAACGACATGTATTTGTGGGTAACAGCATGCATTGTTTAGTCAACAACTGCACTGTCAAGATGTTGGTATGGGCAATCCACACCTACAGAGATCGGTAGCTTTCGGTTACGCTGTTCCCATGTTTTTAGTATTCATTTTGACATTTTATTTCGGAGTTATTTGACGCCACTTTAACCTCACATTTGGTAGATTTGGTTTCCCAATTTAAAACATAGAATATGGCCTAATTACACTTAAAGTTTTGCCTCATCAATCCTTGAACAATTTCATAGGTGATGCTGTTCAGTAGTCCTACTCAAAACCTATTTTAAATTCGTATTTTGTACTCCAGTTCCCCAACTGATCTCTGTGTATGGTTGCGCATTTATTTGTGTTCGTTGTCGAGACGCCCCACAGTATTTTACACATAGCAGACATAAGTTTCAAATAAGCATTAATCATAATTACATGACAACTAGACGAATGTGCTCATAATTATATTTATAATAAGCAGCTATATCGCTGTAACAAAACACTCAACATCAGTGAACCGGAGATGGCTATTGTTTCATCTGTGCAACAAGTAATAGACAACCATATTCTTTCTTGCGAGACTGCGATCTTCAAAATCAAATTTCTGTCAATTAAGTTTCCCCGCGCTCCTTGTACTGTATGTTTCTAAAAAAATCACAGATGGAATATAACGAACCACCATTTTTGTTAAAGAAATGGGCTAGAAAGTACCGAGGTTGTTTTTGGAACAGAGAGCGGCTTGTACTCTGAGGATGGTGAGCTCTGTCAGCCAGCGGAAACAGATTGTGAAACGCTGGCGGTACTCGCTGGGGACCTCTCCAACTCAGTCCCCCCTTTCCATACAATAGGATGTGTCTTTTCGGACGCCTCCAAGACGGGTGAAGGAAAACAAATAGAGAAAGAACAAGTAGGGTAACGACGTACTGTATGGTGACTACTTCACTTTCTATCCCAGGGTGACGCAAGAATAATTTTGCCAATGATAAAATATTTGATGTTTTAATTATTAATGTTGCACTATCAAGACAGCTGGAAAATCGCTCAGTTGTCCTTCGTATGTTAATAGCTTTTTCCCCCTTTATTTATTTAAAAGAACAGCACCGAAAGTAAATGGCTCCCTTTGAGGTGGCGGTAACGCCTGAAGGTTGCTGCTGACCACAGGCAAAATTAGCATGTATTTTATACAGCGTCTTTCATGACCAATTGTGATCTCAAGGCGCTTTCCAAAAAACTAAAAACTTTCAAAAGCGCATGGATTCACATTTTAATACAATCTACTACAATTCAAATCTAAAGTATAAGATTTCAAGACCTAGTACGAATTGAGATAATTTCACAGCGGAACAGAAAGCAAGGGTCCTATTTTTGAGAACTGATAGAAGACCAAAAAAAGAGTCCAAACGAGTGCCAAAATAGAATTACGTGTGTAGAGACATTCGTAATGATGGGAGCTTTGTCAATGACTAACAAGTCGCCCCCCTACGTCGGACTACGAACAGTACCAAGCTGGAATTCACAAATGTGCATCTCTTACGCCACCTTGATTCAGAACTGTCTTCATTAAAATGCAGTTTGTGGAATAATTAGTTCCTCCTCATCGTATACAGCCTGTTTGAGATCCAAATGTTATGTCTTCTCCACAAATGCCAAGACTATTCTTACATGATTAAAAAAAAAATCCAAACCGAAGGAAAAATACATCGTTGCTCAAAGATCAGTAACACTGTCAAAGCAAAACAATCCCACTGGAAAAGAAGGGAGACAAACCGAGGTGCTGGCTTCCATTTATACAATAACTGTTTACAGGATTGGTAAATCATTTTTTAGTTAATAACTGGCACTCAAGATTAAGTATAGAAGAGATTACTTCATATGGGTAATGAAGACGCTTCCAATGTGTTGCTTTTGCACACAAATCGGTTACCGTGTAAATGACATCGATTTACACCTATTACGCCAGCAATCCTTACTGAAATAGCAACATAACTATTATTGGCTACACAAAATAACTGCACGGCGTACAACCCGATTGTCCTTCTTCACGCTGATACTGCCCAAAGACCGATGCTTACCTTCGGATAGCTCTAGCTCCAGCTCTGCCAGTTTCTCTCTAACCTCCGCTGGGAGAGTCATAGCTGCCGCAGCTGTGGGCTCAAACATCATCATTAGTAATCCAGTGGAACTTCTCTCAGCCATGGCGGAGCGCGTCCGATTCGGTTCGAGACAATACGGTAACAGGCTAAAAATGAAATCACCTCCTCGCTTAGTTGTATGTGAGCGAGTGGTGGGTGGTGGTTATTTCATACAGATGCAAGTCAAACTGGCGAACTGCAAATTGCAAATGCGTTTCCGACTAATCAAAAAATAGAGAGACAAATACCGCTCGTATCGCCCTGCCAGTGACTTGCCTTTTTACCCACAATCTTAAGCGTTTAGCTCCTTTCCTGTATCACCTTTTACTTTCTGGCTCCGTACAAAGATTTTTAAAAAGTCATTCAAGTCAAGCCACCTTCTTCCACCTTTCGCTTACAGTGCCGCCATTGCAGCAGCAGCAGCACTGAGAACTGTGCGCGTGCACAACAAGCTCGCTCGTGATGGGCCAGGCGCCTCTGGCTGGAACTATATGAAAACCGAGATATCTAGAAGAGGAAGATTTTAAACAAAATAAATCTGAAAAGAATGCAATGCAATTCAATTTACTTGGAACAGCAGGTACTCCTATCACAGAAAGTTTTTGGGGCATTTTTTTTTCAAATCAATAATTTGGATACCCGTACCCATAATGAACGCATTGGTTTATTTGAAAATAGCCGTTTAATAAAACCTAATCGTTATTTATATTGAGAAATAATTAAGAGAAAATGTACAATAATACAGCAAACATAATTTACAAAAATATTATTACAAATATGGTCTTATCATTTGTGTAGGCTCATATTGATGACAATATGCCTAAATCGAGAATGAAGAATAATTAAATCGATTATTTTAATGACAATACTTTCATCGGGTAATTAATCAATCCTATCGGTACAGATAAAACGTAATACTAGGATCAAAAATGTTAATATGAAAATGATTAACAACTATTAAATAACTTTGCTCCAAAATGCAGAAAAGAAGTCATTTGTAATCATTTCTACCTGATGTGCATGTAAATAATGAAGACTGAACAGCTTTCCAACTCATCGTGCATTGCTCAGCAGTTGTAAGTAAACAGAATGGATTTTTTTCCTGAGGTTCATCTTGTAGCGCTCTCGGGTTCACGTGGGTCTGTGCCCTCGTCTCGGGTCGGCCCCCCACCGCTGGGAACTCAAACCCGGGCCTCCGGCGTCACTCAACAGGGACCCAGCCAGTTGAGCTAAAGGGAAATCTGTCCTCAGCCCAGCGGCTGCGATCCCTGCTATTGACAGAGAAGGGCGGTGACGTTCCAATCTCAAATCCGAAGAAGAAAGAAGCATTCTTCCTAAATAAAATGATAGGGATCATTTTTAATCGTAAATAAAAGGTAACAATATCAGATATTCAATGTTACAACCTTTTGCCTGAGACGAATTGATCTGTTCTGTTACAATTACATATCAATAGCGTTATTTTCACATTTTTTACAACTCTGATTATAAAAATGTAGCTCTGTCGCTTTTATGCTGTTTAAACGGTTTTGAGCAGTTTCTCAAATGTTTACATTTTGACTTTTGAATGTTGAAAGTTCTGTAGCACTCTCGGGTTCATGCTCACGCAGTAATGCAGATCCAGTCAGGAAGATTCCAGAAATCCAAGATTGAAACCCACTGATCATATCCAGAGCGGATGTGTATAAAGTTTTTAAAAAGACCAATCCACGCAAGTCTCCTGGCCCTGATGCTATCCCTGGCAGTGTTCTGAAGGCATGTGCAGACCAGCTGGCAGATGTCTTCTCGGACATATTCAGTCTCTCTCTAGCTCAGTCTGTAGTTCCTTCCTGCTTTAAGAAAACCACCATTGTCCCTATACCTAAGAAACCCAGAGGTAGCTGCCTAAATGACTACCGGCCTGTTGAACTCACATCAGTTATCATGAAGTGGTTTGAGCGGTTGGTCAAAGCATACATCACCTCTTCACTGCCTATCACCCTAGACCCTAGTATTGCTAGAACAGGTCAACAGAAGATGCTACTGCCATTGCCCTTCATACTGCCCTCTCACACCTGGATAAGAAAGGAACATATGTGAGAATGCTGTTTGTTGATTACAGCTCAGCATTCAATATCATAGTGCCCTCAAAGCTTGTCATCAAGCTCCAGGACCTGGGACTGAACACCTCCCTCTGTAATTGGATCCTGGACTTCTTGACGGAACGTCCGCAGGTGGTGAGGGTGGGCACCAACATATCCTCTACCCTGACTCTAAACTTGGAGCTCCCCAAGGCTGTGTTCTTAGCCCTGTCCTCTACTCCTTATCTACCCATGATTGTGTTGCCAGGCATAACTCAAACTCCATCATTAAGTTTGCGGATGATACAACAGTCATCAGCCTGCTCAAAGATGGTTAAGAGTCTGCAAACAGGGAGGAGGTTGAAACCCTGGCGGTATGGTGGCAGGAGAACAACCTCTCTCTGAACATCAGCAAGACTAAGGAGATGATTGTGGAATATAGGAAACACCAGGGAGGAGATCACATCAATTGGACTGCAGTTGAGCTGGTCAGCAGTTTTAAGTTCCTGGGAGTTAACATTTCAGAGGACTTAACCTGGACCCACCACACCAACACCGTGGTCAAAAGAGCACGGCAGCGCCTATTCTTTCTCCATAGGCTAAAGAAGTTCGGCATACCATCACATATCCAGGCCAACTTCTACAGGTGCACTATTGAGAGTATCCTGACTGGTTGCATCACTGCCTGGTATGGGAACTGCTCCACCCGGGATCGCAAAGTTCTGCAGAGGGTGGTGAAGTCAGCGCAGCTCATTACCGGCTGTGAGCTACCAAACATCCAGGAGATCTACTCAGCTAGATGTCTGAAGAAGACCAGGTCCATTCTCAAGGACCCCAGTCATCCCAGTCACAAACTGTTTTCCCTCCTACCTTCAGGTAATAATTATAATTAATAATTGCTTAAACTTATATAGCGCTTTTCTGGACACTCCACTCAAAGCGCTTTACAGGTAATGGGGACTCTCCTCCACCACCACCAATGTGGAGCATCCACCTGGATGATGCGACGGCAGCCATAGTGCGCCAGAACGCTCACCACACATCAGCTATCAGTGGGGAGGAGAGCAGAGTAATGTAGCCAATTCATAGAGGGCCATTATTAGGAGGCCATGATTGGTAAGGGCCAATTGGAAATTTTGGCCAGGACACTGGGGTTACACCCCTACTCTTTTCGAGACTCGCCCTGGGATTTTTAATGACCACAGAGATTCAGGACCTCATTTTTTGTCTCATCTGAAGGACGACGCCTGTTCACAGTATAGTGTCCCCGTCACTATACTGGGGCATTAGGACCCACATGGACCGCAGGGTGAGCACCCCCTGCTGGCCCCACTAACACCTAAACAGTACTGAAGCATTCGGTCCAAGTCCAACAGACTACGGAACAGCTTCTACCTCCAGGCAATAAGACTGCTAAATAGCCAACCTGCAGCTCCTTTAGCAAATCACCTATAATGGTTACATGGACACACAGTTTTCACTGTATTAAGCATAACTGCACTACTTGTATATATTGCATGCACCATGGACACATAGCAGCTCTACTCATATTGAGTTTTATTCAATTACTATTATTATGTAACCTTATTTTCATAACCTCAATTTTGTGATTTTTGTGAGCTCGCAGAAAAGACATTTAATTGCCAGCAACTACTGCTGCATGCTGTATTGTTGTGCGTTTAATAAATAAACTTTGATTTGATTTGATTTGATGTGGGTATGCGCCCCCCCCACCGATGGGGACTCGAACCCAGGCCCCCAGCATCACTTGACAGGGAACCAGCCAGCTGAGCTAAAAGGACATCTCCCCTTAGCCCGATGGCTGAGGTCCCTGCTATTCACAGGGAAGGGCTCGCACAACCTGTAATGTTGGCCATACGCGTTACAGTTTTTAATTTCTACAGAAATGTGAATCTGCATCAGCTTTCTTCCATTTTGTCTTAGTTGCGTTATAGCTCACATACGGCTGAGACGGTATTTTAAATGCATACTAAAAACTACATCCTAGCAAAAAATCGAGATACAAAAATAAATATTTGCTTTTCCTTCAGTTTATCAAATTTGTAACGTATTGTAACGAACGTGGGGTTCGGCACGGAATGGAGCAGGGGAAGGACCAGGAAAAGGGGTTAAACAATACATTTATTAACCAGAACCAGGGAATGGTACAGACACACGGACAGGGATTACACACCGTTCCACCTACACTAATACAGACTAAGAAGGGAAGAGACTGTCTATCAGCCTCCGTCCCACCCCCAGGCACTGTTCTCAGCCCGCCTTGCGTGCGATTGGCTAAAGCGCCCCACGTGGCGCTCCATTGCCTCCGCCTGAAGAGTTGAGCATCCCGGCGACTCCAAACCGTCCCTCCAGGCTGCACACACACCTCCTGTTAGCCTCTCCGTCTGTCCAGGGACCTCCATCTGGGTAGGCTCTCCGTCTAGGCCAGGGACCTCCGTCTGAGTAGGCCCTCTGTCCAGGCCAGGACTCTCCGTCTGGGTAGGCCCTCCGTCTCAGCTAGGGCTCTCTCTCTGCACGCTGGGCCTCTGACCGCTCCACTAAGTCCCGCTTTTGACACCAATGTAACGACTGTGGGGTTCGGCATGGAATGGAGCAAGTGTAGGGCTCAGGAAAAGGGGTTAAACAACACATTTATTAACCAGAACCGGAGAAAGGTACACATGCAGGTACAGGGATTACAGTGCTGCATCTACACTTATACAGACACGGAAGGGAAGAAACTGTCTCCCAGCCTCTGTCCCAATATATACAGTCTAGTAGTCATGCCCCCAGGTGCTGTTCTCAGCCCGCACTCTGTGCACATGGCTTAAGCGTCCCATGTGGCACTACAGTATAATGTAATGCAGTTTTGTGCATATAATGTAGTACCTTAAGCTAATGTTTAAAAAAGATAACGCAGATCTCAAAAAGCTCAGAATGACGAAGTTAAAACATTACCTCATAATACACTCTCAGAATCACAGATAATTCTCCAGATACTTTTAACAATAAAAGTGATTTAAAAATGGACGTTGACTCCCAAGATCTCCTTAAAGATTTGTTCACACCAGTTATTTTTTCTTAATAGTGTGGCGAATGTGAAGACAATATTAAAGTATATAAATAAGAAAAATGTCCGTAACTATCCCTTGCAAATGCATATGATCAAAGTTAGGTGTGGTCTGCATAGCATCTGGTTAGAAGTCAAAACCGGTGGTAAAAATCATCTCACTACACTAGCCTATTAATGCTTGAACCTAATAGAGAAAAATAAACAACTATCACTATTGTGAACGTGAACAAAAAGAGCAATCAAATCAGTGGATCGATTGTTTTTATGCTCAGCATTGACCAGTGTTTCGATTATTGGTTG